AACATACTTAAAATAAATAATTTATTTATTACTATAAGAAATATATAATATAATTATTTATTGTACTCATAACTAATTATTAATTGAATTAAAATCTAAAATAATTGTAACTCTATCTAAAATAAAATCTATAATTAAAACACTTAACCTCAAGAAAGAAAATCCAATAAAAAGTAAACATAAATCACATGAAATATTATGTAATAAGCAAACCCATATGGACAGGTAAGCGTAGGGGACATACCTCATGGTGGGGACGGACTGTTGGGGTTGTGGTGGCGATTCGAGCAACACTTTTCTCTGACCCAACACTAGAAACATGTTTGAAGTGTTGGATAAGTCTTTGCCAGTAATGCCGTCGTAAGCGGTGCCACCGTTTTGTTGTTGTCTATCATTGTAATTATGGTTAGCATGCGATGAGTAGGCCTGATGTGGAGCTACCGTTCCTCCAGCGGCAACATTATTGCTGCCAAACGGCTGTTTCCGAGGAAACATTCTGTTAAATATAATACAAAAACATTTATTATTATTATTTTTGATGGCTTTTCGAGTTAATGTCTATCCATTAGTAGCAGTTCACTGATAACAATCAGTAGTGTCCTTTTGCTGATTACACATAAAATATTTAATTTTTAATTACTTTTATAGATATATTAATAAATTCACGGAATTTCAGTTCACATTTTAAAAATAAATACAGAATATTCTGTTGAAAATTATATAATAAGTACATGTTTACCGGTAAAACAATGTCAACTCATGTCTATTACTACTATTCTTAAACTAAAGTTTTATTGCTGGTATCTAAGAAATTATATAATATATAAAGGACATTTAAATAATTTTTAGATTAGATAAAACTTATTATAACTATCATATAAAGTAATTGATAAAACGTTATTATAAATATAATTATGTACACAGTGAACTGAATATTCCATAAATATACTAAATTTTAAACACAAAATGAATAACTTTTTCGGAAATAAATACTATCTTATTATACACTGAACTTTAATACGAAATAACTTTTACATTTAAAATACTGTATAATAATCGATACTATTATGTGAATAAATATAATAATTCATTGAGTATGTAATAAAAACAAAAATAGACACTAAATATATCCAATATATGATAGCACAAAATAAAATGTACAGTAATTAATGAGATTATTATTGAATAATCGATTACAAAGTACCGTATAAAAGGGTTTAACAAACCTTTTGAGCATTGATTTTTGGAATATATTAATTAGAAACTTATACATCAGTCTCACTCTACAGAATATTCTTAACCAAATAGATTTTTATAAAATGACTACAATTTATTGAATCATTTTCTAAAATAATTTTTTATTAATATTAATATTTATGTCTAACTTGTAAGTGAATTATCAATAAAAACAATGCACTAATAAAATTGAAGGATATTAAAGCAAATTATGGTAATTTAAACATTAGGTCTACATTCAAATGGTTATGACATTCAATATATAGTTTACATAAAATGTACTCAAGAAACTTGAGTCTGGACTATATTACACTAAAACATATAAAAACAATAATGTTTTGAATAATAATTCAATAATCGTAAAAATATATATACGTAACATCTTAAAAGTTTATAATTTAATTTAAACAAGACAATATTAATTTAAATATGTTTGTTATTATTGTTGACTAAAATAAGTAGAAGTTGCATACTAAATAAGCAAAACCATTTATGGATTAAATTGATTTTTAACTAAAAAACCTTTTAATCTAAATATTCTAAAATAGATTAATAGATTAGGCATTCATAATTTCAGAAACTTAATAACATTGTATTAACATACTTAAAATTATTTTATAAATAATGTTAATACAATGTTATTAAGTTTCTAAAATTATGAATGCCTAATTTATTAATTTATTTTAGAATATTTAGATTAAAAAGTTTATAACTAATTATAATAATGCGCCATTACAAAATATTCAAATAAATTCTTATAATAGCATATTAAATAATTAAATAAATAATAGAAAATATGATAAAATCGTGAAAATTAATATTTAGTTACCTTTCAGTGAAAATAGTTTTTGTTTGTGATATTTCCAAACCCACTGTCAGACTATCACTGGCTTTGAACTTCATTATAGCATTGCTTTTGTTGCCCACAATTGGACCGCAATTATAGCCACAATTGCCGTAAACATGACTACCATTACCAGCGCCTGTAGTTCCGCCACTAATGGACACACAAAACATTACGGAATATTCTGTACGCAAAACGTGCGCTTAATATTATAAATGATAGTTTATGTAAAGTAATGAATCATAAAATAACTCTTAATATTCTGGTTATGTATTAGTTACTGAAAATAAAAACTTTTTTATCGTATTATGTGAACAATTGTAATCACTTTTGTTTTATTAGACGACTTATGCATACGTTATGCTCTTATCTCAAACTACCGGCGAATACACTTCCCATAAGTTTTCAAGACTTGTATCAATCAATAAAAGCATATTTTTAATAAAATAAATTATTCTTTTAATAGTCCATAGAAACTTGTTATGCAGTACAGTCTACTCAATGAAAAATGTTGTCATTAATTTAAAAGTATGCTACAAAAAATAATTAATTTTTTTGATGCATCTATTTTATTAATTAAAAAATAATCAATGAAACAATATTGCTTAATCAAACTAAATTAAAATGAAATTAATTAATAATTATTATATTTATATTGCACATTTAACACAAAGAGTAGAGTGTATTTGAGTTCATTGTACTTAGAAATTGCACACACAAATCATAACTTTTTTTTATTAGATTCATTAATTGGTAATATATGCTGTTATAAAATATTTTATAATTCAAATAAATATCTTAAGAATAATTTTAATAGAAAAGTAAATACTAACTATATTTTTATATAAATTAATATTTACATAATCACTACTGTATTAATATTTAATACACAGAATTTGCTGTACACCAGAATTCAATGTTATATTTCTATAGTGTTTGCTTTTTGTTATTTCCGTGAATTTTTTTTATATCTCTGATATAAAATCGATATAATAGTAATGAATATTAGATTTACTATCAAAACATTGAGAGTTCAATGAACTCAAAGTCTTGTTATATTTTTGTGAATAATTATCATAATTAATGGCTAATCCATTATAATTTAATTTTACTATCATATTTAATGATTATTAATGTATCATTGCAATAGTTACTATTTCCAACTAGTATATTACATATCCTAATTTAATTTTATTCTATGTTAATTCATTTAATGTGGGTTTATAAATTATATATACATTATTGTCATTGTACAATACAACAATAATTTTATTTTATAAAAATTATTTTAAAACTAATTTAATAATTAATAAATAATTTTAGTAATAGAATATAACAGATTTATTTTAAAAATCAGATTTATAATAATTTTATAACATAATTAAAAAGCCAGTATCTAAACTGAATTATTTTAACACTAATTGTTTGCAATAATATTTACCCCTTTTTAAACGCAAACTAATTACAAATAATTATTAATTGTTTTCTGTTTCAGTGAATAAACATTTGTTTTTATAATTATAACCTATTTTTACATCTATTTACTATTTCCACCGAAATTATGCATAATTTAATTTAAACACATTTTAAAACAATAGATAAAATGATTGCTTTACTGTCATTAAAAGTATTTAAAAATCAATGATAATTTTAATTTATAGTCAAAAATTGTTTATTAATACAAAGCCTAAATAATTTATCACATACAGCAAATATATGTTAATATTTATCAATCCAGATTATAAGTTATCAAATTATATTTTAGCTAAAAATATAAATAATCGTAAACAATAAACTAACTTGTTTAAATAGTATAAGAATTTCCATATTAAACTACTTTGTCTGTGATTTATCCTAATGCTTATTTATAACACCTGTTACGGCACCCAATTAATTAGGCTCGTTCATTTTTGTTGACTTTGACACACATTATAAGTCAATGGCAAAATTTATTTAATTTTCAGGACACAGTACTTATATAATGCTATTTAAAATATATAATCCAATTAAAAACAGTGTGCACTCGTTATAATAAAATTATATCAATTAATTACTCATCTATAAATCCTTGTTAATATTAATTTAAAGTATTATTTTAAGGTAATTTCCTTATATTGCAATATTTAAATAAATAATAAGAAATACTTAATCTTATAATAAACAAGACAATAAATACTTTAATAATGTTGTATATCGAGTGTTGATTGTATCTCATATACTAAAGGGATACGTGATTTCCAAAATCACACAATGAAAGGATGAAATAATAATAATAATAATATGTGTATAAATATTTTTGGTATAAGTTTTGTAAATGTAGTTCAAGTCCTTTCTATACACATAATATTTCTAAACAAAAAATGCTTATTTCATTTTAAAATAATATTTTAGTATATAAATGTGATGTCCACATATAAAAAATCATCACAATTAATTTAATATCATTTCGTGTAGTGTCGGTTTTTAATTAAATATAAATATAATTAATAAGTGTTGTGTAGTATATTATAATGCGGTGCATGCAATAGTGTGCGATTGTGATAAATTTGTAAATAATATACTAGATTAAATATTTTTTGTGCAATTATACTATTTACTAATTTCAAGAGAATATAAAATTATAATAATAATAAAGTGATTTCAACGTTATTTAATAATCATAAAGTGTTTACTCTATTAGAGTATTTGTAACATAAAATAATATAATCTTTCATTATCATTTTCATAATCTTATTAATTTGCTGTTAATATTTTACAATACTTTATACCAAAGAACACAAACATACAAAAGGTATAAATAGGGATCTATATTAAATTAATTATCCTGATTTAAGTGGTAATAATAATAATAAAATTAATTTTGAAATGCAGAGAAATGCCTATAAGCACATCCATACCGTTACATATGATAACAATAGCGATGCTTACATTACAACGCGAGTCCATACATAAGAATATTAACAACGCGTTACCACTGAAGCAATCGTATGACTACATCGTGATCGGTGCCGGTAGTGCCGGTGCCGTAGTCGCCAACCGGCTCACCGAAGACCCAAACATACAGGTGCTGCTACTGGAGGCTGGCGACCCTCAGACCTTTATCACCGACATGCCTGGTCTGGCCATACCTCTATGGAAAGACATTCCGTTATTTGATTGGGACTATAAGACTGTTCCTCAGAAATACGGACTGTCTCTTAAAGAGCCGGGTGTTTTTGGGGAACGTCGTGGTAAGGCTATTGGCGGCACCTCCACTATTAATGGCATGATTCACGTGGTGGGCAATCGGCTGGACTATGACGAGTGGGCCCATAAGTACGGCGCTCAGGGCTGGTCTTACGCCGATGTGTTGCCCTATATTAAGAAACTCGAGAATAATAGCGATCACCGACTGTTGGCACAGAATTCCGGATATCACGGCACTAAAGGACCCATAGGTAGTGTAGTTAATCATATGTTACATTCAATACTAATCCTAATTATATGTTTATATTATCATACTTATCAAACCTTTAAATAATTATAGCTATATTAAAGTATATTGTGGAAGTTAACAGTATATTATTAAATTAGTGTAGTGTGATTATTTGAATATTAAGTTTAGTAATAAGTATTTTTCTTAAGTTTAATTATTTATTAAATAGTTTGAAAGTGATATTCAAATAATATTTTCATTAAACATAGATTTATAATGTATACTAATTCACATCTACTAACACCTACAGGCATCATATCCGACCCTAACCCTGCACCATTGTTAGTGAAATTTCAAAAGGTGTACAACGAGTTGGGCTATGAGACCCTGGATATTAACGGCCCCAAGCAGTTGGGCACAGCATTCACTCAGATGACAGTGAAAGACGGGTTCAGGTGCGGCACCGGCAACGGCTATCTCGACCCCAATCGGCACCCAAATAATCTGCACATATTATCGCACGCATTGGTCACCAGAATTAGGTTTTCCAACACTAACGGCGAGATATCAGCCACTGGTGTCGAGTTTATCCGTCGCGACCAGAAATATAAAGTCAACGCTAACATCGAGGTGGTCGTCAGCGCCGGTATGTTTGCATTATTTTACTAATTTATTATAAATTGTATATAGAATTTGTATTCATAACTTATAATTCAATATTGGTGAACTGTATTTATATTTATGTAAATTCAATTTAATACAAGTTAATCACAATTATCCCTCATTACAGGTGTATTCAATTCGCCACAACTACTCATGTTGTCGGGTATCGGACCCAAAGCACACCTCCAGTCTCATGGCATACCTGTGGTGAAGGACCTACCAGTTGGCAACAACCTGCAGGACCACCCGAAAGTGGTTTTTCAATCAGTGATCCGAGACCAAGACGCCCAACCCCGGGAACCCGAACTAAATGTACAGCAGTTGCATGAGTTCGCCGCCTACCGTCGGGGCCCGTTAGCCAGTTACACGTGTTTGTACACCTTTTTCAATACCAAGAGTAATGCCATCACTCAGTGGCCAAACATAGTTTTGGCCGCTTTTGTGCAGAAAATGAAGAATAATTTAACAGAAGTTTGTGAGAAATACGGCGAAAGAGTGGATGAATGGAAACAGTACTACAGGTAAAGATATTTACATAAAAATTATTTCATATTCATTAAAATGCCAATATTATTGCATCCAGACCATACCTGGGTAAATACTACATTAGAGCGGACGCCAACCTTCGCAAACCCCGGAGCTTTGGTTCGGTACGGCTATCATCGGCCGACCCGCGGGCCAAACCCCTAATTGATCCCAACTTTTTCGACGTCCCCCAAGATTTTACCGATTTGGTGGAGGCGGCAAAGTTTTTGCTATACATACTTATGGAGTCCCCCATCGCCAAGTACCTCGACTTTAACCACAACCCTATACCCGGCTGCTCCCTGTGCCCGGACCGGCCCATGTATGCGTGCGACTCGTATATCAAATGCTATATCCGACTCAATGGCGAGAAGGAACTCCATCCGGTGGGCACCTGTCGTATGGGCGCCCCTGAGAGGCAAGACGTAGTGGTCGACCCCCAGCTTAAAGTGAAAAACGTGTGTCGACTGCGAGTGTGCGACGCCTCCATAATGCCTACCGTTCCCAATGGGAACTCCAATACACCGGCTATTATGATTGGCGAGAAGTGCGCCGACCTACTCAAAGACGACTACTATTCCAAGCGAAACATACCGTCCGGTGGGGCACCGGTAGGCATGACAAGTCACTCGACACGAGTGAATCACTAGTAGTTTGTTATGTAATTGTTTTCGTGTCTTATTGTATGTCATATTCATATTTATACATAATTTTATTATTGAAAATAAATTTTTATTTATAAAATAATGATAATTTATTTAAACAAAAGTAGAAATAAGGTCTCTTAGTTTGTCAATAAGTATGATAAAGATATTTTAAATTAATATTCACATAACATTAAACAATTTTATTAACATAAATTTATAATAAAATAAAGATATATTTTAAAGTTTATTTATATTTCAACGATTTAAAACAAGTAATTAATTTTGATTTAAATTATTAATGTAAGCATATGGCAATATTATTATTATTATGTTTTATTATTTAGATTACAGTATTAGGTTCAAACGTACTATATCAATATTTAACAAATAAATGAATAATTATTATTTATCAATATCAAATCATAATGGGATCTAAATTATGAATAATATTTAATTTTATTTATATTTTACAGTAATAACAAACAATAATAATCAAATGGGAAATTTTACATGTATTCGTATTAATACAGAATTCTGTATATAAAATATATTACATAAAATTATTGTTTTAAAATAAAATTTAATATTAAATGATTATCATATCAAAATAAATGTAAATGTATTAAATATGATAGTAGAATAAAGCAAAAATAGAATATATCTATAGTAATTAATATTAGCCATTATCGCATTAACTGTTGATAAATTTGCTGTCAAATTAAATATGACAAATTTGTGAAATTGTATTTGTTGGAAATGTCAACATACTGTAAATACAGACATAAATCTAATGCAAATATCAAGAATTCATGGCCGTTTCGCTGTTAAAATAATACTTTATTATATTTGCATATACTGGTATATTTAAAATAAATATTTAAAATGTGAGTTACTGTGAAATTGTTAGAATCAAATGTGCTTGTTCAAAAGATATAATTCAAGTTAGTTAAAAGTACATTTAATATTTATACAAAACTGGTTGAATATCATTATCACATTAATGGATAACTTTTAAAAATATAAATTAACATTTTGTTACCTACATGTCTGTAAAATAAGTTACCTATTTAATGACAAAACTTATTCATTTTGATAACTAACTAAATAATTTTATACACAATTTTTAAAAAATTTTAAACACTAACTATAATTTATTAATTTGCTTCAAAGATTTAACAAATTAATTCAATCATTAAAATTTTATTATTAAAGTATAATTGATTAATTTCAGAAAAGTATAATAAATGTAGTTATTAATTACCGGAAAATTATTTTATTTATTGTATTAATTTGATAAATATTAAACAAATATGAATATACAATGGGACGGAAGCTTATTGGAAATCAATTTAAATGTCCACCGACCTGTGCCCAAAAAAATGGCAATTCCAACAGCTGGTACCCACCTCTATACCCGTGGATTATCACCATATAACCTGGACAAAAATGTCAAACGAAATATTCTATACAACCCTTACTTTATATTCTGCATATTACTCATAAATACTGTGCGAAGTATTATCGCTATATTCATACCACAGAATCGTTTGGATTTAATTATATTAATGGCTGACTATTCCTATTACCTGAACGCACAAACACACCTCAATTTTGGTGTTTCCCAATATTATTTGTTAGGAATTAGTACACAATTACTTCATTTCTGGCTTTATTACCGCAAAATCCCGCTTATATTTATGCTACCATTCCGTATACTACAGGGACGGGTGGCACCAATACGTCTGGGCTTTACTAACCAGTCATATATTAGAAAAATATTCAGAATCTATAAAATTTCACATTTTATATGCGAATTAAATCCAAAGATTGTCTTTGGGATATCCTGGACTATACTATTGACAACCTTTTATAGACATATGACTATCTTGCAACTCATACAATATGGTTTACCTTGGTCAGTCCTGTATACCTTGAGCACTTTCTATACATTTATGTTGCTACAATGGAATATTACCTATTTCTATATAATATGTTATTATCTAAATTGTAAACTTCGGGAACAGAATAACAGAATCGAGTACTCGATAGCAATGAATATATTTAAGCAGAACTTCATATCAATAATAGTGAGGCGGTTAACAAAAATTCATATCGAAATCAACGATTATAACAGAATTTTTTGGTCTAAATATTCATTTTGTTTTCTCATATTTTTCACAACTTTTATGAACTCTATGTTAGCATTGGTTATATTTGGTTCAATTTATCCAGTCCTCAAACTATTGTTTCTGTACATATTTCTCATGGATTTACTATTATTTATGTTTTATTTAAACACGGCGTCGACTGTCAGTCACGAGGCTTTCCGTACGTATAAACTGCTTCACAAATACTCAATGATTTCTGGCGATAGGCTTTCCGTGAATAAGAAATTAAAGGTATTTTTAAAAATAAACTATAATGCTTTTATAAATATATATATATATATATAAATTAGATTTTATTATCGCGTGGACGAATATCTAAATTATAAAATTTATTTATTTGTTAATACATTAGTTATTGGCGTTCATAGAAAAAGTTGGCCAAAAGAGGGTTGGCTTTCGGTTTGGGGTGTTATTTATAATCAATTATTTCCGCTTTTATCAGGTATTTAATGATCACAAATAATATGAGCCATTATTTTATTTATATAATATTGTTTATATTTTGTTTTGCACAGATAATAGCCGTAATGATAGCATATTTGCTGAAAATTTATAAAAGACTTATAATAAGAAAAATTATTCAAATCTAATTTATATTAGATAAATTGTCTATCAAATATAATTTATTTCTATGGATTATTCTTGTCAGACCAATTAAATAAATGTGTAGTAATTATAATAAAATTAATGATACCATATATTTACTTAATTATAATCGATAAAAACATTAATCTTATATACAAAACATTATATCATTAAGTCTAATACAGTATTTGTATAATTTAATAAAACAAATTACAAATTATTTGTTACTTGGAATTAATAGTGACAGTCACCAATGTAATTCTTAAAGTTTCATTGAGTTTCTATATAAATATTAATTGTATCTTGATGTATAATTTTTTATTAATTATTGTTACCGTAGTTATATTTATATTTTGAAATATTGTTATATTGATTTCATTAATGAATTTATTACTATAAATTAAATATTATACGAATACCTTGATTATTGCATTTTGTTTCTTAAATAAATATAAGAAAAATAAATTATCACTAATGAATTATAAGTTATTGTACTAATTACGTATAATATACAAGTACCGTAGTTCATGTTATTATCAAAACTGAAACATTCACAAAATATAAAAATGTATTTGAAATGGATATTGACAAATATTATTCATGCAATTATTATTTGTAGTTAATGCTTATTTTAAAATAAAAATAAATAATAATGAATCAAAAATTTAATATTAACCTTCCTGTGCCCAGTGATATGGTAGTCAAAAACGCTGGTAGTCACCTATACTCACGAGGATTATCACCATTTCAATTGCAAAGTGATACAAAAAGGACAAACTTTTACAACCCTTACTTCATGCTAACCTTCCTATTAATGAATACTTTGCGTAATATATGTGCTATATGTGGTCCAGAGCACCGACACCTTTTCATATATTTAGCAGACTTTCCATACTTCTTGAACGTCAGGATTGCCCTAAACTTTGGTACCATTCAGTTATACCTCATGGCTATGATATCACAATTATTATACCATTGGATGTATTACAAGGACCGGTATCCCACTTATATGAGACTATTCTTACTGCTTTCTGGTACTATATCACCGGCCGATGTCGGGCTAACTAATGAGTTATATGTCCGCAAAATCTTCCGGATTAACGTCATATGCGTGCGAATATCCGAATGGAATCCCAGGATAATGTTTATAGTGGCCTGGATTATAGTAGTCGTGCCCTTATATATTAATATGACAGTATGGGAGTTTACCTTGTATGGCTTTCCATGGTCAGTGGTCTATGCCCTGAGCTCCACATATAGTTTCACATTATTGCATTGGAATATTTGCTACTTTTATATAATATGCTATTATTTAAAATGTAAATTAAAGCAACAAAACGATTTGATTGAGTATTTTATCAGCGAGCAGAATATTCTGTATCGACATAATTCAATTGATAGTATTATTGAGACGTTAACCAGAATTCATACGGAAATCACTGAATATAACCGTCTGTTTTGGTCAAAGTTTTCGTTTTTCTTTTTGATATGTTTTATGATTTTCATAAACGCGATGCTATTTCTGGTCATATTTACTGACATTGATGTTGTGCTCAAAATATTCATATTTTATATATTTCTGTTTGGATTCGTGTTAATCATATTTTATTTAAACAAGGCCTCAATTGTGAGCCACGAGGCCTTTAAGACTTATAAATTATTGCATAAATTCTCTATTGATTCGCACAATCGACTGTCCATTAGGAGACAAATTAAGGTATTTCATGAAACCAATGTATACTATGTATACTGTATTTTAATTTGTTAGAATATGCTAAGAAGTTTTAAATAACATTTTCTAATTATAAAATCCAAAATATTTTAATTTGACTACTATAGCTATTGGCATTTATTGAGAAAATCGGTACAAAACGCATTGGTTTTACTTTTGGCTATTTGTTTACATTAAATTATTTGAAGTTTTATGAGGTACTGTATTCTGAACACATTACTATGATTTTATCAATATAAATTTGCTTAATTTTCAAATATAGATTGTGGGACTTGTGGCCATATATCTGATAAAAATATATAAAAGACTTATAGTAAAGAAAATTATTAAATTATAATAAATAAATCAACTTGTAAGAATTTGTACTTATTTTCAATTTCTATACAATATTTGATTGTAAATTCAAATATCCAATGAATATTTATTTTGGGTTTAAAATAAACACCAAATCAGCAACAATTATAGAAAAAAATCAATTTATTTTATGCATTTATAATTTCAAATGTATCTCAAATTCATTAGTTGCCATCATTTTATGAATTATCATTAAAATGATGGAAAAATTATTTCGTTTATTGTACACAAGAATTACATAACATTTCTCGCAATGCATTATAAGAATAAATATTAAAATTATTTGTTGTCATTTAAATTATTTCAGTTTTGATTGTGTTATTAAATTAAATGAGAAATACGATTGGTTTTGAACTTAAGTTATGAAATGAATTACAAAAAAACAACACATAAACTGATTTTAAAAATCATAGCAATTATCGATTGAAACAGTAAACACAGAAAACAATTTAAACAAAACATTTGCCATGATTTTCAATACAATTCGTATTAAACGCTAAAAAATGTGTTATAAAAACGAGTCGTTAATATACTAATTAAATATAATTGCAGTAAAAAATGGGGACAAAAAACACTCAAATGATTGATGTTTTTAAAAAACAATTAGTTCGTGAGAAGTATTAAATATATATAAATATAAGAATCAATTCGCAATGTATTTCTAACACAGCGTTTGCATATCATATAATGATTTCATTATCGATTTATAGTAGCAATCGTTATCGTTACTAAATTTTTAAAAAAAATTAAATTAAATTAAATTAGAAAAATATTTTTCGAGTCAAAAAACAAACACAAAAAATTTGTCTAAAATTATGAAATTATGACCAAAAACTCAATGATTACCACAAAATACAGACACAAAAAAATCATTACAATTATATCTCAGCAAATAATTAGAGGCCTTTATAAGGGTTATGAAAATAAAGAGGGAGTCATAGGGGTTCGGGGTCTAAATGAATAAGTAATGAGTGGGTAATTAGGAGGGGACAGGTATAACACCTGTCGCTACACCCTAATCGAGTATAGGTTCGTTCGGGTGGACAGTCTTGAGGTGTTTGTTCAGTGATATCCTCCACGTGTAGACTTTCCCGCAATAATCGCATATATATTGAGTTTTGGCGTTCAGGTGCACGCCGTTGATGTGGTCCTGCATCGACTGATGGCCGTGATATACTTGGGGACAGTAAGGGCACTGGTAGAGGCCACTACTGGGCGTCTGGAGCTGCGGCTGGCCACCCATCGCGGGGCTCAGGTACTCCTGGGACGACCGCTGTTTACGGCTCCTGGTCTCAGGCGTTCCCTCCAAATCGCTATTCACTGGCAAATACGGTATCAAAAAAGTAAAAAACAACAATTAATTCAAACGTCAAAATCAGACATAAAAATGAATTTTATTCACGATTTAATCATTGAATCAATCGATTAGTTAAGTTAATTAATTAAATAAACTAGTTCAATTTGTATAAAATAGATCATAGGCTTTTCCCCTCTCTATTCCCCTCACAAGACTAGTGGACAGGTATTCACGTACTCTCCTCCTTAGCCCAGTTAGGCGTACGTCCGGGTCCTTTGCGGCGTACAGTCGACACCAGTTCGCCGGATGCGGTCACCATATCGTGATGACCGGCGCCTCCATTCTCTGCGGGCCCGGGAGTGCCGGCCGCCGAGCCGTGACTGGACGTCGACCGGCGCAGGGCTCGGGTCGTGATTTGCGTGGGACTACTGGTCGTCGACTTATGGTAGGCCAGCGTCGAGGCCACGATAGCCGCCGACTGGGGGTTAGCTCTGAGATCGACCCCGTGATCGGCACCCGTACCGCGCTGTCCGTCAAACGGTTGACTGAAGTCTATTTCATACACCTCGCCGTCGTCCTCGTCATCCATGTCAGGTCTGTGGGCGCCGTCCAGTGGAACCGGTGCTGGCATGCCGTCGGTGTCCACCTCCATCTTTGAGACGTCACTGTTTGGCAGTGTTTTGATGACCGACTCGTGCGGACCCCCCGGCGTCTCGCCACCCGTTTCGCCCAATTTGATGCGTTTGCGGAGCTGTCGGCCCTCGCCTTCGCTCAGACCGGGAGACTCTGTCGTCGATGATTGCGATGACTGTTGCTGCTGTTGGATACCAACACCGCCGGCGCCAACACTCAGCACTACTATCTGCGGCTGAGACCCGACTCTTTGCGGCGCCGGTGTATGCCTTTGGCCCACAATCTGTCCATTGCTCGTCGTGTGACCACTCGTATTGTCCGACACGTGTATAACGCTATTACCGCTACTACTCGTGACAACCATCTGTTTGTTCATTAAATGATTTGAATTATTATTAATCGGTCCGTTATTATTGAGGCACTGATTCGTGTAATGCAAAAGGCAATGAGAAAACAAATATTAATTTTAAGTCAAATAAACAATTTATTCACAATAGAAAAATACAACAAGAAAATCGAGATTAGAGTTAGTTTTAAATTATGGAGAAAAAGTGTCAAAGTTAACAAATACCGGTAATTAATGGACACAAAAGTTAATTAAGATTCAGATCAAAAGAATGGACACAAAAAGTAATGAATTTAATAGACGATTGAAAACTTCATAAATTAGAAACTCATTGAAGAAAAACCCGTAAACTGTGAGCAAAATTAGTTGCAAAGCCTACTAAACACCAGCAAAATGGCTCAAAAGAGATCCCAAACCTTAATAGTGGACTCTTTGCGGGCCCTCTCCTTCTCGTACACCTCCTTCTCGATGGCGAACTTCATCCGCAACGCCTCGAACCTCTGCTTCTCCTCGTTTAAGACACTCTTCTCTAACTCCAACTTCTTCTTCACCTCCATCTCGATCTCTCGCCTCAACTTCTCCGACCGGTTCCTCTCCACGTCCTTCAGGGCGCGCACCTCCTGCTCGAGCAGTCGTTTGTCGTGTCGCAGCTTTTGCAACATTTCCTGCTCGTGGGCGGCGTCCGCGCCTCCTGTCCCGTTCATGTCGTCCAGCGGTTGGTTATCATTGGACACAAGTTTGATGTTCATTAAGCCCTTAACCATCAGCAGTTGGGCCGCCGCCAAGAACTTGTGTATTCGCGACTGGCCTACGGATACCTATGCCCAGCGATGGCACCGATCAATAGAAATGTTAGTCATATTTGCGATAAATAAAGATATAATAACATTTATAAAAATAAAAAGTAAATTACTTAAATGTCACATAAATCGATAAAACATTCATTAATTATAATATACATTAAGCTTATTATTACAGTTACAGTAAATCCAAGCATAAAGTAAACTAAATATAAATATATTTAAATAGCACACAAAATGAAATAAATATCATGTGTACACTATTGACAATAGTGTACAGATTTGTAAACAATATATTACTGTAAAATAAGTGCTAAATAAGCTCACAATTCATTTAACGAGTGTTCACTATATGACGAGTACACGAAAACTCAAACATAATTTTAAAAAACTAATTAAAAAATAATCTAAAACTAAATCCTAAACACGAAAGACAATTAGAAAAGACTCGCAAAACATAAGACTCTATATAATCACTACTAAAACTAATTAATGGTTAAGACTTCGGAGTATATGTCAAGACAGGGAGAGAGCGGTGGCTAACTGTATGACTACCTGTCCCTTATAGATGAAGTCGACAATGGACTTGAGGTCGTCGTAGTCCACGTTCGTCACCACCACTGCCACCACACCCAAGGGCTGAGCCGTGACCGACGAGAACAGCGACCGGAAGTAGTCCGAAGAGGCCGACAGTATCACGCGATGGGTGGCCAACGAGCGCTCCGGTACCTTATCGGCCGGCGCTGCCAACGACACACGCGGGCTACCGGTGCGCCCATTGCTCGCGTGACCATTGGTTAGCCGCGCGCTGTTGTGACCGTTGTTGGTGTCCGGGCTGTTGTCGTGGTCCGAGTCCGTGTCCACGTCTTTATGGGAATGGCATACGAGTAGACAATCGGTGAGTTGTGTCGTGTCCAACATGGAGGCGAAGCTGTCCCTCATTGTGATCTCGTGGTCACCCATGCGAAAGGTGTAGCCGTTCTCCTGTTCCCCTCCACTGCCGCCACCGGCTGTCGGCCCCGTCCCGGACGACACCGGCGCTGATGAGGATGTCGATGAAGACATTGTCGAGCACTTGTTCCCGCCTATGGTCTACCGCTCCCCTCACCCGATACAACCGCTCACCAGTAGGTATAGTGTTGTCTCACTCGCTGTCAGAGGTTGGGATCTAATGTCTTGAGCCACCGGCGAGTGGTATAACACTCAATGTCTGTTGATATATACGATATGCTTACAGGCGCTGATGTCCGACTCCCGGCGCCGGTGATGATCGATGTGTTGACACACGTGTGCGACACCAGTGTCTGCTTCAGCGGTACTTTTCGGTGACAATCAACACAAACAACGGTTTAATAGTCAGCAAAATAAGTGCAATAATAGCCAAACGGTTGTTGAGTTTGTTTCAAACAAACAGTGTTTTCATACGAGTTATGAAAACACTTCACAAAACACTCAATCAATGAAAACACAAACACTGAGTAAAAGCAATGACTTTGTGGTGATTGTTATGATTCACTCGTATTGCATACAAACCACAAGTTTTTAGTCAACAAATCATTTGATTGAATGAAACCCCGAAAACAGTGTTAATATTATTGTCGATAATATTGTCGCCAATTATGTATGAAATTAGGAAAACAATGGTTGAGTTGATTGGGGTTTCGTTGCGGACATTGTGTGCACTACTCATAGACACAGCACTCGTATCGCGAAAGCCATGCAAATCGTACGCCTAATGCCTGGCAATGACTTAGCTATGCGTTTGCGAGTTCACTGCTCACCACAACCTCCCTGTGCGGGCGAGACTACAGGCGCCTCAACGCATGCTCTATGCATCGACTTTCCCTCCAATTTTCTAGACATCCCATTCCCCGCTACTTTCATGCCATTAACTGCCGGTGCGATCGCTGTTTAAATCAATAGTTAGGCCATTTTCATGACCCCATTAGCATCGCATACCCCTATGAAATCGATTTGCTTTTGGTATCACCTGGCTTATTGGTTAATGACCTTGCTCACTGTAGCGTGATAATTTAATTTTCATACGCACCTAGTAGAAATAATTAATTAATTTTAAGAAATTTATTTTATCATACTAGCTGCATTGATACATGTCAAATTATTTGCAAATTTTATTTTAATATATTGCATAAGATTTAAATTTACTTTTTTGTAAATTTAGTTAAATTTAAGTATGTGCGATTAAAATTAAATTATTTGAGAATTATATAATTTTTTTGTGTATAATGGTAGTTTATTGATATTTAATGTAAATTAATTAGTAGTAAAAATTTGTATAAAATTTAATTTTTATTTGAATATGGTAGTAATATTTATGGTGCGCAATTTAATATTATATTTTCAACAACGTATTATTATATATCAAAGTGATATGTGCGATTTAAACGCTATATTACAAGTCGGCCATACCTCCACTCCCATTTCACTTATAAAAACCAGTCTGTAGTGGAAATAAAACTACCAGTGCTAACGTGGAATAATCTCTTTCCCTACGCTAGCGAGCACTGGTAGTTATTTTCAAACCCAAAGTCCTGTAGTATGTGTTTGTCGTTGTTATTAATCACGTGCTTAAAAGGCCAGGGAATTGGTTACCAAGAGAGACATGCCATGAAAATCTGTAATTTATTTATAGATTTATTTGTTTTTCATGGAAAATATTATTATTATTCGCTACAATTCTCTCTCTCTCTCTCTCTCTCTCTCTCATCTGTAAAATAAATTAAATTTTATTTCCCAATTTAAAATTCATTTATTCGTAACTAGACTGTGAAATAACAATGCATTACAAAAAAGCTGTTTGTAAATTATAAATGTTGTTTCATAACTAGGTTTTGAAATCATAAAATATTGTACGAACAAAATGTTTTCAAATTTATAATACATTTTAAATAATATTTGTAACAATTCTAACGATAATAATAATAAGAAAAACAAATGATAGCCTAATTAAAGTATAATGAACCTGCAAAATCAATAACAGTTTTATTGATTTTAAATTCATTAAAAATATATATGTATTCATTAAATAAGTATATAATGTTACTTTATAACTGTATATATTTGTTAATTTATTATGCCTATGATAATTGTATAAGTATGAAAAATATATGATACAGTATTATTATTTTCATTATAAGTTATTTATATGGAAAATAATTTTGCCATAATTTTCATATCATAAATATGTTTCATAATATAATATATTTATATTAGGACAATTAGTGTATCGATTTTTTAAAAGTTTAATATCAAATTCATACGACTATTTTTATATAATATAATTAGGGAATTATTTTTGTTTGTTAATTTCAAGTATCCACACAAAAAGACATTTAATTTATATGAATATTTTATATGATGTAGTGCATAATACATGTGATACCATAATAATATATATATAAATTAATCAATATATCCAGAATCTATGTTATTAGCAAAATTCATAAAATTATATAATTAGCAAAACGTTTAGTCATATAATAAAAACTTTAATAAACGATAATAATTTTAATATGCCATAAATTAGTTCATTAAAAGTTTTTAAAAAGTTTTCTGAAAACTCATTTAAATTTAAATACTAAATAAATTATTTAAATATAATACCTAACAAAATATGGGAAAATGAAAATATTTTTATGAATATTTAAATTTGATTAAATATGAAATATTTATTCATTTAATACTATATATCACCACATAAATAATTTAAAATTTATAAATATTATTTGTATACAAAAAGTTTACAAAGAATCAATAATTATTATGATGATGTATTAATCTAATTTAATAATGCAAATAACATATAAAAATAAGTTTAAAAGTATTTTGTAGAATATTAATATTTTTAATAAATTCATGAACTTGCATGTATACAATAAATTTAATTAAAATTATTTTTGTTAACAAACTGCTTACGTTAAAACTCGATTCATAAAAGGATAATCAGCTATAATTCAAATCATTATTTATTAGCTTATTTAACTATTTCAAAATATTCACCATAACCTAAATTTTTTATCTAATAAAAGATCTCTAAACCAGCACGATCAAAAGTTATTATATTAACAGATTATTTTAAAACTAAATTTTTGGATTTTGATTAATATACTAGTAAAAGCCTTTTGTAAACATTTATTTAATTATTGATTTTAAAAATTATAATACATTTTAGATAAATCATTTATACTGTATACTGTACATTCAAGCAAAGACAGTAAACTATTTAATTTAAAAACACGTTTTATGTATAATTAATATTTTATAAACATAGTTCTCAATATAATTAATTTAATAAATTAAAAATTAGATGACTTATTACAGATAACTTACGTGGTACTTAAGATTTTATAATTATTTCAAATAAATAAATTTTAATAAATTTTAATACAGATTAAAATTTATTTGAAATATAATAAAAACAACAATTTCTAAAAATAAAATATTATTCTAAACAACATTTTAAATGCATAAATAATTAATAATATCAAATATTAATAATTTCTATATTAAGTTATACTGTAATAATATAATAAATCTATATATTTATATTATAATTGACTTTATTGTATTAGTAATAAATAATTAATATGGTGGTAAACCAATAGATTCTGGTTTAAAATCATCAAAACATTTGGAAAGTACAGTAATTTGATGGGCAATTGAACTGAAGTCCACACGATTTCCATTGTTAATCAGCAAAGTCTTAGCACCGGAAGCCACGGCACCTTTAATACCAGACAACGAGTCCTCTATAATCAACACACTATCCATAGATACCGGTGCTGTTGGAAACCGATTCTTACAGATCACATACACCTCGGGATCGGGTTTGTGGTGCTTAACCTCCGGGTCGGTTGCGGCGCAAACATAATGACTGAAATACGAGTCAAAATAATTGCCAAACTTTTTCGTGACAGCCTCGTAAAATGTGTTTGGTGAATTAGTGGCTATGGCCATTGGTATGCGGTGCCGGTGCAGGTGTTGCACCAGTTTATCCACACCTGGTATTAATGGCCATTTCTGGCTCAATATCTTTGCCATCATTTGTTTAATGAAAGTCTTATTGTCTATCGATTCATACAAATCGAGTTCTTTGAGAAAAACCGGAAACATTTCCGTCGATTCCAGGCTAAGTATATCGGCTGACAAATGAGTCAATTATTTTTAATTCATTTAATTTGATAACACTATGTAAAAATAAATTTAATTAAAATTATAACCTAGTAAATAACAAGTGAGTGAAATATGTAATTACTATTTAATCTATTTATTTAGCAATTATTAATAAAATTTATTGCATGGATTTAAATTAAATGTTGTAAATGTTAAAATAAGATTAATCTATCCCCTTCTATATTTAATTGATTAGAATCTATTAGAATACCTAAATATTTTTATAAATAATTATAATTTAATTCCATAAACTTCTGATAATATGGAAATAATTTTCATAATATTTTAAATATTTTTAAATTTAATCTAATATATTATTTATTTATAACATGTATGTATTGGAAGTCAGCTTATGATGTATGCATTACGTGTTTAAATACCAATAAATTCAATTCAATATAATACAGTCAACTTATTACTTTAATATTAATTTACTAGTGAATAATTTAATAAATTAAAATTACAGATAGATTACAGTATATGAAAGGCAACATGTTGAATCATGTTATGTGTCTGCACAAACTATAAACTGAAATATTCTACTTAATAATGTATAGTAAAGAATATGGAGATATAACAGTATTTAGTGAAATATTTCAGTTTACGGTTTGCTCGTGCAGACACATAACATGATTCAACATGTTGCCTTTCATATACTGTAATCTATCTGAAATTTTAATTTATTAAATTATTCACTAGTAAATTAATATTAAAGTAATAAGTTGATTGTATTATATTGAATTGAATTTATTGGTATGCCTTTCATATATGAAGTTTAAAATTAATATTTAAACCTATTTGATGAAGCTATGAATATATTACAGTAATTGATAAAAATACAATAGAATACCTAATTTATCGGGTGATATACT